AACTTGCCCAAGGTTTTGCCCTGCCTGGAATTGAACTCAGGTCTCTCGCTTGCAAAGCGAGTGCTCTAACCACTGAGCTACAGGACTCCACGAGTATTGTCTGTTTCCTTGGGTAAAGTGCGGCGAGTGATAAACAGATTAGGGCCTTCTGAAGTTCACTCCATCAGTGATGTATTCAGCCTTGCTTATCTCGGATATCATTGGAACAGCTGACCAACGAAGGTCAAGGATGAGAGGTGGTTTCTGTGAGAAAGCATTTGGAAAGTCTTTTATTGCTTCACATGGGATGCTCTGTGCCACAGAATCAGAGTCGTTTGGGATGTGTTCAGGGAAAATAGATGGACTATTGCTCAGTTGGAGCATACTCATAATTCTTACATTTAATACAGCATATTTCAGGTTGACAGGCTATCCCAAAGCGCTTGACAGCATTCACTATAAAGTGGAGGGACTTTGTGTTCTGTAGGTGAATACAACAGTCACTTTGCACAACAAAGTGCCACAAACAGCCAGATGGTGAATGATCAATTTTTTTCTGGGGATTGGTGATCAGAGACACTATAGAGACAAACTCCCTTCTCTTTTTCAATAGTGCCATGGGATCTTTAATGTCCACCTAAATAGGCATAGTTTAACGTCTCATGCAAAGGACGGCACCACCCACATTGCAGCTCTCCTCCAGGACACTGGGAAGAGAAACTCCCTTCTCTATTCAAATAGTGCCTGGGGTTGTTAACATCCCACCTGAACAGGCAAAGGTATGACCTTGATAATGTCTCCTCCAAAGGATGGCACCTCCGACACATGCCCAGCACTGCACTGGAGCATCAGCTTCCTTAGACAGTGTGAGCTCAGAGTCCTGAAGCCACAACAGTCTGCCTCAGAGGCGAGAGAGCTACTAGCTGAGCCAGGCTCAGAGAAATGCAAGGAATGGAGAGAAGGCAGGGAAATGGGATGAAAAAGATTCACGGGAGGGAATAAAGTGATTGGTGTGGGCTCGATCAGCTGAATGGATTCTCCTTGCTGGTCTATGGTGTAGAGAAAAAGAACAACAACAAATTACGTTTGTATAGTACCTTTCATGTCAGGAGGACAGCCAAACATGCATGTGCCTGCACCATATTTTAGTCTGTCCAAGCATTTACTAAAGCGTGAGCTGACACTGAGTTTGGTAATCTCCTCCCATTTGTCTTTATTCTTAACCCTCACATACAAAATAATAATAATAATCCTTGCATTAGATATTACGCCTTATCACAGTGTTGAGATATCTCAAAGTGCTTCATAGATTATATTGCTAAATGGATTGACTGCGTTTTTGGGGGTAAAATTCTTAGTCAATACACTTCACAGTAAATCCTGCCAAGGGCTCAATGACATAATCAAGCCGAAATGACAAGATTATTTTATAATTATTGTTTATATTATTTTATAATATAATTATTTTAATATAATAATTATTTTATAATTATTGTTGTTATTAGCCTATAACATGGGATCAGAATTTAAACGTAGACTTTGGGATTTCACAGTACATTGCTTAAAGGATGCTTTTGTCTGTTACATACTGTTTGGTCTCTAAAACACACAGTCTCTATACTTTACGGTGAATCCTGTGAAACGCTTTGAGACATCCTCCTGATGTGAAAGGTGCAATACCAAATGCGAGGTTCATTATTATTATTAATGCAGAACTTTCTGATTCTGATTTTAATGCAAGGATTATTATTAATACAGAACTTTCCAACTCCACACTATGATTTAATCGGAAGTTTTATGGCAATTACAGAGGCAGGTGACCTACCTTTTATGAACTTTGTGTTTTGCTGCTTTAAATCCACTGTCAATCAAATTCAGTTAATGATTGTGCAAGGTGCCTTGGAGGTTTCATTATAAAACCATATCTAAGAGATTACCATTAGTAGCCTAATACCTGAACCCTGCCTGTACAGATAGAAATAGGAACAACAGTGTTTGCTAAACACATTTTTATTCTTCCTTGTTCAAACTGGGGAGCCAAGACTCAGGGAAATCTTTCTGTGGTTGGCCTGGCTCAGTTGGTAGCACTACAGCCTTCGAGTTAGGAGATTGTAGGTTCAAACGCGAAGTTAGGACTTAGAATCACATAAGCTGTCACTCCAATACAGTGCTGGGCGGGTGGGTGTTGTTTTGTGGTGGAGTTGGTGACTGTCTTCAGATGAGACTTTAAACTGAAATCCCATATTTGCCTGTTCAGGTGGACATTAAAAATCCCATGATACTATTGAAAAAAGCGAATTCAGTTATACTTTCCCGGTGTTCTGGTCAACAATACCCCCAGATAATATCAGTCTTCACCTCATGGCTGTTTGTGCGACATTGCTGTATGCAAATTGGCTGCTGAGTTCACCCACAAAATACATACTTTACAGTGAAGCGCTCTGAGACGCCCTGCTGACCTGAAAGGCGCTATAACAAATGCAAGGATTATTATTATTTTTTTGAAAGACTGAAGAGTTTAAATGGTGTGGAGAAATCAAACCATAATTAGGGGAGAAATGTTCTCTTTCTCCCCTATGTGAACCTACCACTAATCCACCACTATTAAGTGTTTTGAGACGTTACACTGCGTGGAAGGTGCTATATAAGTGCAAGTTGTTATTGTTGCTGAAATTGTGAAAGGCGCTTTACAAATGTAATTTTGTTGTTGTTGCTGATACACACTTGTGTTTCTATATCTTGGTGTTTGCAAAGAAACAAACCACCAACAACAACTTTCATTCCTAGTGCCCATCACACAGGATAGTGTCTTGGAGCGCTGAACAATGGTGCAGTTTGACACTGAGCTGTCGGAAAAGGGGAGGTTACCACATTAAATACTTTCTTGTATTCTGTCCATCAAGTATTCACAGCTGAAGGACTTAACAAAACAACGCAAATACTTTAGATATCCAGTCTGACTTTTCTCAAGCAATGGCTGAGACTTATGAGTGTTTCGGGTATTCTTGAACATTGCAAGCTTTTCATTTGGAGTGAAACCAGTCTAGAGGAGATAGGTTTAAAGTGAGGATGAAACAGGTGAGGACTGAGACAAAGAAGCAATTTCTTCTCCCAGTGCACCACCTGAATGTGGAACTCACGTCCACAGAACACTACAGAGGAGAACCAGACCAGATTGCTGTATTGCCAGTGGTGCCGTCCTTCGGATGAGACATTAAACTGAGATCTCGTCTGTGACTGTTCAGGTGGATGTTAAAGATCTCACAGATCTATTGGGAAAAGAGATTTCTCCAGGTGTTCTGGCCAAGAATACCCCAGATAAAATTGGTCACTCACTTCATGGATATTTGTGGCACATTGTGTGTAAATTGGCTGCTGTGTTTACACACAAAATACGCAGTCACTACACTTTACAGTATTATCCAGTAAATCCTTTGAGTGGTACGCCAGGGCGTGAGTGGGGGAGGCGGAGGTTGGAGTTCCAGGGAGATGGAAGGAATTGGAAGAATGAAACTATTGATCGGACTCATAAATCTCTGAGAATTGGTGCGTCAGCTGGTGACTCAGTGTTTATTTAACAAATGTTTTGATTGTTAATCTGTCAACTGCGGTATTACAGTTTACATAAAGCGAAAGTCAAGTCACCTGCCTTTAACACTTGGGACAAAAGGAACCTCATTGTATCCTGCCATCAAGTGTGCACAGCAACGTCTTTCAAAAGCAAGTTCCCTTGGGGAAAAATAGTTTGGACAACTCCAAACTATTTTGAATAACCCTTGACCTCTCCCTCCATTTTGCAAATTCACATTACTTCGTAATTTTGGAGTGGCAGTGTAGCTCAGTCACTCGTGCTCTCGCGTTAAGTCAGAAGGTTGTGAGTTCAAGCTCCATATCAGGACTTGGAATCACATAGTTTAAGCAGATGCTCCAGTGCAGTGCTGGGGGGGCACTGCAATGTCGGAGGTGTCATTCTTCGGATGAGACGTTAAACTGAGCTCCCTATTTTGCATGTTCAGGTGGAAGTCCAAGGTCCTGTGGCGCTATTGGAAAAGAGGAGGGAGTTTCTCTCTCCCAGTGTTCTGTTCAGAAAATCTTCAAAGGCTCAGCCTATTGGCTGGAAAAGTGTTGCATTCTCACAATCGGATTTGTTGTTCTTGTCCTCCATTCACATCGTCGGGATGTCTTAAAGCGCTTCACTGGTTATACTGTAAAGTGTCGTGAGTGTGCATTTTGTCGATGAATGCGGCAGCTAATTTGCACACAGCAATGTCCCACAAATAGCCATGGAGTGAGTAATAAATTTCACCTGGGGAACGTAGGCCAGGCTTCCGGGAGAGAGAACTCTCTTCTCTTTTTAAGTGCAGTGAAACAATGAACGCCACTACAACACATGGATCAACTACAAAGCGTCAAAGCATCTCAGAACATTAAATCCCTGCACGCACACCATCCAGTCCTCAACAGGCTCCTCTGACTCCTTGGCTCCAAATGGATCAATTAAAGCTGCTCACGCTCACCTAAAAGTCCATTCCTCCCTATGACCGCTTATCTCTCCAATCCGCATTGACCCTCATTGCCTGGGCACTTGTCACTGAGCATCTGTCTGCTCCAACAAGCCTCAGGACTTGGTGGACTGGGCTGGCATGGGGCGGGGGAGCCGAGTTGGGGAGGGGGACACAGAGGGCAGAACGTCCGAGAAAGTCCAACTCTCATCCAGTTCATAAACCAAAACCGGGGCATTCTTTGTGGAACGTGAGGAATGGGTTTGTACGAGTTACCAAGTGTCCAACAGAAGCCAAGGCTTCGAGTAGTTGAAGTAAAGATCTGCCTGTTATCATAGGAACGTGAAAGTGAAAGCTCAGATAAGCTCCGGTTATTGTTTAACCCAACCTGCAGTGCGATTTGCTGCCTTGAATTGACACAATTGAAGGTGAGAACTTCCTTAACCATTAACCATATCTCAATCGCTGCAAGAATTTGAATGATAAATAGCTGGGAAGAGCCTGTGATCCTCCACAGACAAACAGGAGCTGGCCTCATCCCCAGTCATGGACTTCCTCGGGATTCTTAGGAGCAACACCAAGTTGATCATCCTGGTACTTACACCACTGGTGCTTCTCCCTCTGCCACTTGTCATCGGGACTCAAGTAAGGACCATTTTGCTGAGATTCTCTACTTAGTGTCATTATTAATAATAAGAATCATAATAGTAATCCTTGCATTTGATACAGCGTCTTTCATGTCGGGAGGATGTCCTGAAGCTCTTCATGGGACTTTTATATGAAATTAGTGACTGTCATTTGTGGGTGAACACGGCACCTTATTTGTACATGTTAATGTCCCACAAACAGCCATGAAATGACTGACAAATTTTATCTGGGGGATTATTGGCTGGGATACTAGGAGAGGAAACTCTCTTCTCGTTTGGAATAGTGCTGTGGGAGTTCAAATCCTGACCTGGCTTGAATGTCCACCTGAATTGTACCCCGGTTTAATGTCTCATCTGAAGGACAGCACCTTTGACAGTACAGCACTCCCTCAGTACTGTCATCTTAGACTATGAACTTAAACTCCAAGTTTCCTTACTCAACACGCCTAATAATAATCCCTCCAAAAAGAAAACTATAATAAATTGGTCATTTTCAATCCACGACTGCATGTGGGGCACTGCTGTGCACAATTTGCTGCTGCGTTTCTCCCACAAATATACAGTCAATTAACTTTACAGCATATTCTGTGAAGCGCTTTGAGACATCTAGAAGACGTGACCAGCGCTATTTCAAATGCAAGAATTATTATTATTATTATGATCAGAGATGAGAAAGCTACCAACTAAGCCAGGCTAACACCTGTCAAACATGAGCTATGATATAATTTTTTATGATCTAAAAGGTTGGAGAATAAAAATAATAATAATAATCCTTGCATTTGGTATTTACCTTTCCCTAGCTAGGTTGTGCCTTTTTTCACTGGAGAAGAGATGCTTAAGGGGGACCTATTAAAAGTGTTCAACAAGGTTAGCATAAATCGGCTGTTTCCACTCGTTGGTGAGTCCATAACAAGGTTATACAAATATAAGTTAAGTGACTAGGGGATCTAAAAGAGAATTTAGCAGAAATTACTTATTGACTGCAAATGAGTCAATCTTAAATTATATTTACTTTAAATAAATTGCCACAGTTTAACTATTATTTTTCAGATTTCAAACACTGAGATAATCAAACTCAGAGAGATAGGCATTTTGTTTTAATGAAATCTTTTATCTAGTAATGATATGTGTAAAAGGTAAAATCACTAATCTGGGAAATAGTTTGTTCATGCCATTATTCCCACTTGAGGCTGTTTTAACTTTCAACTGGTTGGAACCCAACACTTTACCAGAATTTCCTTTGATCTTGTGCTTACTCCTCCCCTTTCCAATCAATCACTTTTCTTCCATCGTGTCACGAAATGACATCCTGCTTTTCGTCTTCATCCCATCATAAACCATACATTATAAACTTTCCTTAATCTGCATGTGACCATATCACTGAAACAAACAGATAAGTACATCCTCTTTCTTTAAACACAAATTACCATTTGGTTGAATTTGTTTGTTCCAAAACATCTCTAAGTCTTAAACCATATGTGTTACATCACAAACGTGGACAACCAGGGAAGGATGACATATATCAATCACTTAACTTATCAAATGATTCTGACTTGAAACGCAGGGAAAAGTGTGACGGTTTTCATCAAAGCTTTACAAAAATATTTCTTTATTAGACTTTAGTTTAAACATTAAAAATGTTAGAAATTTTCTCTTGAAGAAAATGCATACTAAAATAGTACACTAATTTAAACTATAAATAAGAAGGGTTAAATATTAAGAATTAGCTATATATAACTTCTATTTAACAAAACTCAACAAGACCATGGAGTCCTGTAGCTCAGTGGTTAGAGCACTCGCTTTGCAGGCAAGAGACCTGAGTTCAATTCCAGGCAGGGCGAAACCTTGGGCAAGTTTCCTTACTAATAATAATCCCTCCAAAAACAAAACAATAATAAATTGGTCATTTTCAATCTACGACTGTTTGTGGGACATTGCTGTGCACAATTGGCTGCCGCTTTCGCCCACAAATATACAGTCAATTCACTTTACAGTGTGTTCTGCGAAGCGCTTTGGGACATCCTCCCGACGTGAAAAGCGCTATATCAAATTATTATTAACATGTATTGACTTCCCATAATGAATTATTCTTATGTAAAGAATAATTCGCCCAGAACACTTCATACTTCACACAGAGGGCAGTGAGATTGTGGAACTCGTTGCCTGAAGTGGAGATTGAATCGGATAGTATAGAATCATTCAAGAGGCGAAATAGAAGATTGTGGGAGAGAGTAAGGAGCAGGTGGAGACTTATGTGTAGTATAAACACCAGCACAGACTGGTTAGGCTGAGTGGCTTGTTTCCGAGTGTGCGTGCTTTACAGATTTTGAAATTTTTTCTGTATCCTGAATGTGACCACAGAGCTAATAGCTTAATGGTTTGTTGTTGCAAACAAGGCAAACAGATTACTCTGTTGTTACTGATCATTGCCATATCTCATCGCCTTATCTTGTTCACAAGTACAATAAGAGTCTCTAATCTAAAGTGAGCTGAACTTCTGAGTCCAGGGGCGATTGCAGAGTGCTCAGTGGGAAGTAATGGTCTCCCTCATCCCAAGGTCACATCATAGCTGCTCCACATGTGAGATTTCATGTTCACACTGAGTTGACTATTCGGTCCATTGTCGTTCTGCTCCTCGCCCATCTCCATATCACACCTGAAGATCTTCCTCTTTGACTGTGCTACAGTCAACCACAACCCCCACCCCCCACTACCCCCTCTCCCTGGGTTGGAGTTAAGCTCCAATTCCTTAAGGTCTCCAAGATGCTATCGGACATAAAGGGGGCTATATAAATGCAAGTTGTTGTGGTGCAGTTGCATTAAGAAAATTGTCACTTTGGAACAATTGTGTTTGTCGGAATATCAAAGCATCAGGTCTCAAATTTGAGAACTTGTTAGCCTGGCTCACCCAGACCAAGTCATTCACTTTAGGGCTGTTTCACTGACAAAATACACAGTCATTATACTTTACAATGAATCCTATTAAGTATTTGGAAACATCTCGATATCTATATCAAATGTAATTTTTTTNCTCTCTCTGAGGGTGGAATGAATTAAAAGGGGCAAATGTTAGCATAGTGTTGACAGGGGCATTTAGAAGGGCACATTGAGGAGGAAGGAATGATGAGAGATGGGGAAAGAGTAGCAAATTGGGTTGGGGCCAGATGAGTTTTTAAAAATCAGTGAAAATTTGGAGGCTGCTTTTTCACAGGATTGACAGAACACTGGGTGAAAACTAGTGCCAAGGGGATCTTTAATGTCCAGCTGAACAGGCAAAGATAGGACCTGGTTTAACATCTCATCTAAAGGATGCACCTCTGACAATGCAGCACTCCTCCCATTATTGTTGAGGGAGGGATTGGACTGTCAGTGTTGAGGGAGCTATTGGCCTCTGTGTGTCTGGTTACTTCTGTGCTATGTGTGATTTTTCCAGGAATCAGAATGTGCGTACACAGTGCTGGTGGTTGCTGTGTTCTGGCTGAGTGAAGCCATGCCGCTCGCGATCACTGCCCTCATACCGGCCCTGATGTTCCCTCTCTTTGGCATCGTAAAATCCAAAGACGTGAGTACAATCTGCCAGCACATCGGAGAGGGCTTCAGTGTTCAACACATACTACTGTTTGTCCGGAGGGGAGAGGGGGAAGAAAGGGCGGAGAGGAAAGGGGCAGAGAGGACAGGGGCAGAGGGTGTGCATAGAGGGGGCAGAGAGAGGGCAAGGGGGAAGGGAAGGGGGGAAAGATGGCATGTGTCAGAGAGGAGGGGGCCAGAAAAAGTGGAGAGTAGGGATGGAGAGGGCAGGGTGTAAGTACAGGGTAGGGGGATTTTGAGATAGGTCTGAAGACAATTTTGAGCAGGTTAGAGTGGGGGTAGTGGGAGAGTATCAGCGGAGACCCAGATGGTAGGGCTAGAGAGAATGACTTTGGAGGAGCCTCAGGGGGTTGGGAGGCCAGTTTGGAGAAGGGGGAGGGTGTTGGAGAGGCAGATTGAGTGACTGGCTGCACGACAGATGATGCGGATTGTTGGCTATTGTCGATGGCTGTTTGCAGGTGGCGAATTCATACTTCAAAGATTTCCACCTGTTACTGACTGGCGTCATCTGTTTGGCCACCTCGATAGAGAAATGGAACCTGCACAAAAGAATTGCCCTGCAACTGGTGATGGTGATGGGTGTCAACCCTGGCCGGTGAGACCCAGCGACAACAGGAGGCCACTTGCCCACTGAAGCCAACCAGCCTAATCCAAATTCTCTGCTCTTTCCCCATCCCCTCTAATGTCAATCCCCTGCTCTTCCCCATTCCCTCTAATCTCAATCCCCTGGTTCCTCTAATCCCAATTGCTTGCTCTTATTCATCCCCTCTGATTCCTTCCTCCACATGTGCCTAGGAGATTGTCAGCCAGGACACCAAGAAAGAATCCCTGTTTTTTTCCAATAATGCCATGGGTTTTTAACATCCATCTGAACAGGCAGGAAGAACCTCAGTTTAACATTTCATCTGAAGGACAGCACCTCCAACAATGCAACACTCCCCCAGCACTGCATTGGAACTTCAGCCTAGACTGTGAGCTCAAAGTCTACCTGTCCTCCCCTCCTCCCATCAGAGCATCGAGCTGCTTTTTAAATGAATCCCAGTATCCTGGCCTCAACCACACTTCCTGGTTACCCGTTCCAGTCATTAATTTCCCTCTGGGTAAAGAAAAACGTCCTGATGTCTGCCCTAAATTGCCCTTTGCAACTCTAAACTTGTGTTCTCTTGATGTACTGCTTCATTCCTCTACATTCTAAAGTATTGATCTGGGTTTACTTTTTCAATCCCATTTAAAAATTTATATTGTATTAGGCAAGGACTTGTGAGCCCCATGTGCATTGTGAGCAACCTTGCCTGTTTGTGCAAGGAGCAGACTGAGATTTGCAATTATCACTAGTGAATGCAACAGTCCAGGATAAATCCATTTAAAAAGCTTCTCAAATTGATTCAGCCACTGGTTTATTACATTTCTACTCATTTAATTACAGATAATATTTACTTTGCCGCCTTTCTGACCCCAGAGTCTGGGACTCCAACCCGGAGCCTCTCCACTTCGCCCCCTCCCTTTGCCTGCTTCATCTTAAGACCTTCCTCTTTGATTGTGCCTTTGATCATCTTCCCACCTCTACCCATCTTGCCCTCCACCACTCTTGACTCCAACCCCCAGCTCTAGTGTAAACCCTTCACTGTCCAGAACCTTTGTCTCCTGATGTGAAAGGCGCTATACAAACATAATTTGTTGTTGTTGTTGTTCCTCTAACCAAGTACTGTCTGTCTGCTCCCAGGTTAATGATGGGCTTCATGCTGAGCTGTGCCTTCCTGTCTATGTGGCTGAGCAACACATCCACGGCAGCCATGGTGATGCCAATTGTGGAGGCAGTCACCCAGCAAATCATCAACGCAGAAGCCGAGGTTCATGCCGGGCAGGAGAATGGGGTGTCCAACCGTAGCTTTGAGCTGAATGGTAAAATACAACAATAACCTGCATTCATTCGTACAGCACCCTTCTCTAAGAGTGACATCTCAGTTCTTGAACATGGTTGGGGGTTGGATACCTAGCAAAGGAGAAGGTGGAAGAGGTTGAAGAGATAGATTTTAATGTGGGATTTAAATAGATAGAGAGGGGCAAGGTGGAGGGGTAGAGGAAGATAGCCATAGAAGTTAGAGCTGTAGTGACTGAGGGTGCCGCCATCAATGGTGGTGCAGAGAGGTCGGGAGATGCGCAATATGCCTGGGAATAGAGTGGGAGGTGGAGTAGGGTATGAGCAGATCAGAGAGGGAGGGAGGTTCTTTGGCATGAAGGGATTTGTACGTGAGAGTGAGGTTCTTGAAATCGATCCGTAGGACACAGGGAGTCAGTGGAGCCTGGCGAGGATCGGCGTGATGGGGGTGCAGAGTTTGGTGCTTGTAAGGACCAGGGAGGCAGAGTTTTGGATTAACTGGATCATGTGGATGGTGGAACTTAGATTCAGCCTTCAGTTCCAACCATGGAGCAAACTGCGGCCCAAACCTTTGTCTTGAGACTATTGTTTGTTACCTGGCCCACAAGCACAATCTGACTGTTGCTCACCTTGGAGTGTTGGTGACCCTGGCAGGGCTGCTGGTTACTGCCTGTGTCTAGTCACCCTAAGTTGTTAGTGGTGAGACCTTCTCGACAACTGCTTACAGTGATGTTGCCCCACTACCACCACCACAGTGGCCATAGGCGAATTATTATCACATTGTCGAGATAGCTCGCCGCATTTCACAGGATTTTACTGGTAAGTGTAATGTCTGTGTATTTTGAAGTTGCAGTCAATTTATACATAGTAATGTCTCTAAACAGCCATGAAGTAAATGAACAGTTTTATTTAGAGGATTGTCAGCCAGGACACCAGGAAAGAGAAACTCCCTGTTCTTTTCCAATAGTGGGATCTTTAACGTCCACCTGAACTGGCACAGATGGTTTACCATCTATTCCGAAGGACGGTGCCTCTGAAAATACAGCACTGATCAAGGACTACACTGGAGCATTAGCCTGGACAGCTTCAGAGACAAGAGTGCTACTGACTGAGCCAGTTGACACTAATTGTCTGCATGGAGATGGATGGGGACAGGAAAACATGGAGAAGCACTTGACAATGCTGCTCTTATTCTCCTGGATTCCTGTTTTTTGGTCAGCCGGGTGTGGAAACCCATCACCTTGCTTAAGAGTATCCAAACAAACAATATCCCTCCTACACTAGGAATTCCAGTGATATTTATTGCAATGCAATGTGCACTCTCTCCCTGAAGAAAAGTATCCTGTTTACCTAATTCCGGGAAAGTATTAGGCACAGGTTGACAAGAGCCAGCGCTTGGGGACCTCAGAGTGTACGCTGGGAGTAACTGCTGGAGTCTAAAACAGCTAAAACCTTATAGCTTGTCATTGGCAACACTGTCTGGCAAGATTTCCTGCTTATCCAGCTAGGAACACTTTAACCACTGGGGCTTTGGTTTGCAGGGTTAACAGGAGCTAAGCCAGGCTGGGTTGTTAACAGCAGTGCCCTGGAGCACTGTGGACCCGGCTTGGCTCAGGAATCGGATTAGAGACCGTCATAGAGGGCTGGCTCGATTTTAACATTCGGTTGCCGAACATTTTACCTTGGAGCCAGTTCAGCTCCAAGGAGACCCCGCTTACCTCCTCCTCCTCCAAACAGGATAGTATAGTGGAATTTACAGAGCGGAGAGATGGTGGAGCTCCCCTGTGCTTCTCAATGCTGTATGTTAATGCTTCTCGTGCCTCTTTTTTAACCAAAGAAAAAGGAGATGAGATGAAGAAAGAGGAAGAGAGAGAAGAACACGAGAAAAAAGACCGTATGGAGAATGACCCACCAGAGGGGATGGAGCTTGATACTGTGAAGCAGGAAAGGCAAGAGATGGAGGAGTAATGTCTTGGCAGTTTGTATTTCTAAACACGTCTCTGCCCATTTAACCCATCTGTTTCACCCTCACTGAGAGGTCCAAATACCTCCCTACCTCTCTGACCTGCTTGTACCCCACTCCTCTGCCCGGTCCCTTGGCTGCAGTTCACACATGCCCTCCTCACCACAATGCTCCTAACCTTTGAAATTTCCTGCCTCAATCCACCTTCCTCATGCCCTCTTTATCTTTCTTTAAATCCCACTTTAACGATTATAATCCTTGGATTTGACATAGCGCCTAATTGAATCATTGTAAAATGGATTGAAGCGACAGCCAATTGCATACAGCAGTGTCCCACATAGAGTTGTGGATTGAGTGACTTTTGTTTTGAGGGATTGTTAACCTTGAAAAACAATCCGACAATCAACTAACAACCAGGTTCCTACTTACTTAAACAAAGGCATGTGGAATAAGGAAACTTGCCATCAGCGCAGTGAGCTCTGGCACTGCTAGTCTGGATCATACGATTTTCATCCCACAGCATCTTTGTATGCTCATCTCCTCCACTAAGCGAACCCAGGCCTTGCTGAATGCCCCCCACTCAGTAGCCAAGTAACTGATTCTACACCCCTAACCTCTGGAACTTTCTCCCTCACTCCGCGTCTCCTCTCAATCTGTCTTTAAAACCTATCTCTTAAACTTCACTGATGGTCACCTCCTCACCCACCCTTTCTCCCTTCTCCTCCCGCAGCACCAAACATGGCCAGCACTCCGAGACGTGACCCTGTGCGAAGGGCACTGTGTTAAATGCAGGTTGTTTTTTTCTCCTGAGTGAAGCCAAAATCAAGCGGAAATCTGAGATTTCCAACCAGCATAAACATGAATGTAAAAATAGGGAGGTTATGTTGAAATTGTGAAGTTCATTGGTTGGGTCATGTCTGGAATACCTGGTCAAAAGCTCCATCTTGCCTGCCACAGGTTGAGTAAGGTAAAATGTCTCTATGTATGTGGAGCAAAATGATGGAATCTTTATTATGTGCATCATACTGGAGAGAGATTAGATGTCTCGACTAGATAGGAGGAAGGAAAGAAAAGGAGGGAAAAGTCCATTTAAAATCCCTTTAGAATTGCTCTTAAAGGAGCTAACGCAAACACGATGGACTGAATGGCTACCTTCTGTGCTAGAATTTCTATTTCCATGGTTAAGATCTTTTCTTCTGTCACCCAGCTGGTGCAATAATATGGATGCCAATTCTTACAGAATCGAATCAGAGGAGGTACGTTCTTTTATTATTAGAATTTTATTTGGTTATATTAAAATTTTCAGGCAGCTTGTCTCAGTTTCTCACACTCTTTCCATGTGGTCACAGGCCTGAGGGTTCAACCTCCATGTTTGAGCTTACAGTCCAGCTTGACTCTCCAGTAAAAGTGACAGTTAAACATCCTGTGGCACTGTTGGAAAAGAGAAGGGAGTTTCTCTCTCCCAGTGTCCTGGTCAACAATCCTCTGGGATGAGACTGTGTTAAGTGACTGGATGATGAGACCGCATGACAAGATTAAGTGACACGATCTTGTGTTTCCTCCCCCATGTCAGGCTCCTGAACAAAAAGTGGCCAAATACAAGAGCAGGAAGGATCACAAGCTGTGCAAAGGGATATCCCTGTGTGTGGCTTTCTCATCCACCATCGGAGGCCTCAGCACCATCACTGGCACCTCCACAAACCTCATCTTTGTTGAGCAATTCAACACGTAAGTGAATCACAGTGTGAGCAGAATGACATATGCAGAGAGTGACATGGAGTGATGTACAATGATGCAGCACAGAAACAGGCCATTCGACCCAACTAATCCGTGCTTGTGTTTATATTTCATACAAGCCCACACCCCTCCATTCCCCTCTCCTACACCCCTCTATTCCTCTCCTACACCCCTCTATTCCTTTCTTATACCAATCTATTCCCCTCTCCACAACCATGAGGTGCATCTATGGATGGTGATGCTGTCAGTGCCTGAGGTTTCCCTCTCTGACACTCCTCTATTTCCCCTAAATTCCACGTTCTCTTTCTGTTTCCTTTTGTCGTAGGCGTTACCCAGAAAGTAGTGATGTGAACTTTGGCTCCTGGTTCGTGCTGGTCTTCCCCATGTCAGTCATTATTCTCATCTTGTCCTGGGTCTGGCTCCACGCCATGTTCTGCGGCTTTGAGTAAGTTCCTTTTCCAATTATCCACTCACATTACAATCACAAGATCACATGATAGGTCTGGATGAAGAATGCCTTTCAACTCATCTGATCTCATCCCTCCAGAATACCCGCCTTACCATCGCCCCATCACAGCATCAAATTGGTTTTAAAATAATCACAGTGTCCTGGCCTCAACCAGCCTTCCTGGTAACCTATTCTTGTTACTAATTACCCTATGGGTAAAGAGAAACTTCCTGGTATCTGTACTGAAATTACCTTTACAACTCTAAACCAGCATTCTGTTGTTCTACTGCCTTGTTGCATTCGAAAGGATTGACCAAGGTTTACTTTCTCAGATCCCATTTAAAAGTTGGGGATTGAAAAAGTAAATCTAGATCAATATTTTAGAATGTAGATTGATGCCGCTGCTGACTGTGTCACTCATTTGGACTCCGCTACAGTGGATCCTGTAGGGTAGTGGTTAGAGCATTCGCCTCGCAAGTGAGACCTGGATTTGATTCCCTGGCAGGGTGAAACATTAGGCCAGTTTCCTTACTCCACACATCTCTGTTTACCTAGCAGAAGGTAGGATCCCGTTGTTAGTCGATAGTCGATCTTTTTCCAGGGGTAATAAACCCTTCAAAGATAATTTTTTAAATAATAATAATTTGGCTACTCAATCCATTACTATTTGTGAGACATTACTGTGCACAATTGGCTGCCATTTTTCTCCCCAAGTAAATAATATAATAATAATAATCCTTGCATTTGATATAGCGCTTTTCACGTCGGGAGGACGTCCCAAAGCGCTTCACAGAACACACTGTAAAGTGAATTAACTGTATATTTGTGGGCGAACGCGGCAGCCAATTGCGCACAGCAATGTCCCACAAACAGTCGTGGATTGAAAATGACCAATTTATTATTGTTTTTTTTTTGAGGGATTATTATAAGGCGTGTGGAGTAAGGAAACTTGCCCAAGGTTTCGCCCTGCCTGGAATTGAACTCAGGTCTCTTGCTTGCAAAATATCTAGTCCATTCACTTTACGGTATATTCTGTGACGCGCTTTGAGAGGTCTTGAAGACACGACAAGGCATTATATCAAATGCAGGATTAACAGAAGCTAAGTGGGAAAAGTCCCTGCCCCCAATGACTGGTCTGCTGTTCCAAGTCCTGCTGATGAGCCAGGCTGGCTTTGCTGTCATCAGCAGGAAATACTGTGCATCTGCCTGGCTCAGGAACGGAACAAGAGACCGCCACAGAGGATGGACTTGAATTCTGTTGCCAAACATATTACCTTGGAGCCAGTTCATCCCTGAGGTGACTCCATTTACCTCCCATCAAAGCATCAGACATCACACAGAGGCTGACACGCACACAGGAGGGCAGTACAAGCATTCAACGCATTATGGGACTCACTGTGGGCTGAATTCTATTTCTGACTGTCTCTGTGAAATCTTGCAGCTTTAAAAGCACATTGATATGTCGCAAGGCCATGAGCAACAAGGAAAAGGCATCGATTAAAGTCATTCAAGACGAGTACAAGAAACTGGGACCCATGCGGTGAGAAATTTTTCCTGAGCCCTCACAGATGCGTCCAATACAGACCTGTGTCTGCGGTGATGTTGCTCCCACTACTATATGTGAAGGGGGTAGGGAGCGCGGCCAAATACATTGGGAAATCCACCCTTCAGGTGCAATGTTAAACAGAGGCCCACTTTGTGCCTATTCAACTGGACGTTTAAGGTGAAGGGATTTGTAGATGAGGGTGAGGAGCTTGAAATCAAACATTTGGAAGCCAGGGAGCTAATGGAGCCTGGCAAGGACCAGCATCATGGGAGTGCAGAATTTGAATGAGTTGAAGGTTTAAGGGTGATAGAGCGAGGGGAGACCGGCAAGGAGTGGGTTAGAGGTGTCCAGGCAACCAAATAGCAAACACTGACTAAGAAGAATTGTGATTGTGAAAGTGTAAGTGTGCCAGCAGAGGGGTTGACCAGCAGAGACTGACAGTTCTTTGTTTGCCTCTCAGTTACCAGGAAATCATCACCCTCATTCTGTTCTGCTTAATGGCAATTCTGTGGTTCACCAGAGAGCCTGGCTTCTTCCCAGGCTGGTCATCTCTCTTCTCAGAGTAAGTGCCGATATAGGAGGGAATAATTCCACTCTGGGATGTGGGGGGAGGGGGAACATGATGTGTCTGAGAGTAACAGAGAAACCGATCTAAACTAGCCAAAGTTCCACATATGTCTGCCACCTACATATGGAAAATTTCCTGTGTCTGGAATGAAATGCTTACCCTTACTTAATTCTGGAGAGTATTAGGCCCGCATTGACAAAAGCCTAGGCTTGGGAACTCCATAATATGCATTGGGGCATCATTTGGCTTGCAGCATTAACAGGAGTTGAGTGGGAAGATTTCCTGCCACAGTGCCTGGTCTGCCTTTCCAAGTCCTGCTGATGAGCCAGGCTGGCCTGAGCTGTCATCAGCAGTGCCCTGCAGTACTGTGGACTCACCTGGCTCAGGAACCGGTCTGGAGACCTCCGCAAAGAGTGGACTCAATTCCAATTCAGCACCAAGGAGACCCTGCTTACCTTCCCCACGAGGAGGATGGGCAACACTATTTTGGAAAAGAAACATTTGCTTGGAAAGGTGGGGTTATTGGAGTCCTGTTGCTCAGTACTTAGAACACTTGCCTCGCAAACTAGAGGTCCTGGGTTCCAATCCCGGGCAAGGCGAAATGTTGGGCAAGTTTCCTTACTCCACATGCCTCTGCTTACCTAACAGTAAGTAGGAACCCAGTTGTTAGTCGATAGGCAGATTGCTTTTCCCTGGGGTAATAAGCCCTTCGAAAAAAATAATTTGATCATTCAATCCATGACTGTTTGTGGGATTGGCTGTCACATTTCACCCACAAAATCAGTCAATTCACTTTACAGTATATTCTGTGAAGTGCTTTGAGACGTCTCGAAGACACGATAAGGCACTATATTAAATGCAGAGATTATTATTATTATTGCTATTGAATGTCATTGTCTCTCTTCAGCAGGTATAGGGGCTTTGCCACAGACTCCACAGTGGCTCTACTGCTGGGTCTCCTCTTCTTTATTCTGCCTGCCGAAAAGCCCACTTCATCCCCAACAAAGAGTTGAGTTGTTGCTTTTGATTTTCAAGCTTCTTACTGGTTTTAGCTGCAGTCAAAAGCCACAAAGTCTTTCTCTCTGGTATAGCCTGGCTCAACTTCCCCTCCTCATCCACGCCCACTCCCCGATTTCAGCGCTTCGAGATGCTTTCCTGCCTGAAGGTGCTGTATAAATCCAAGTTGTTTTTGTTGATTCAATGAGGTGGGTACACAACAGCTTGTGCAGGGTAATGTCTCAGAGCACTTAACAGGGATGGTGTTGGACAATGAAGAAGGCAGAGAGAGGGAGGGAGAAGGTGGCCATAGCAACCTATTAAGTCACTGGTTGGGTTAGTCAGTTCATGCCAAATGTACTTCTCTCTCTCTCTCTCTATTTCTCACTCTCTCTCACATCTTTTTGTCTCTCTTTCTCTCTGTGCCTCACCTAGAAAACCTTTCAGGCCCTGGCATCTACCTGTCTCTCCTATTTCTCTGATCTCCTCCTGTCCCACAGGCTAACTGATCCTTGCTGCAGTTCCTCCCTGCTATATAAGGTGCCAAATAAACACAAGTTGTTATTGAGCTCTCTGTGTGTGTCTCTGACTGTTTTCCTATTTCACGGTGCGTTTTTTACCACTCTCTTAGAATCCCTCTAACTTTTTATCTCTCCTCTTCTGTGACTCTCTCTCTCTGACCCAAAGTCTACACGGTACAAGTGTATAAGAGACTGGCCTTTTCCCTGCTGGTGAGGATGTGAGGTACAGTTTCCTCACTCGTCCCCACATAGCCCGGGCATTTGCTTTTTATGCTGGTTTCTCGCAGCCTCGTGTTCACCGGAGCCCATTGCGATTAAGTGGAGATGTGGATAGCCAGCACAGTGCGGAGCCTGCTTGTCACTCTGGGATTTTGTAGCCCATTGCGTGACCCAAGAAACCAATGGCTGCTCAAGGACTGTGGTCTCTTCTATGTTACAGAGAAGGGCTATAGTGCTCTCATCACATGGTCAGAGTTCCAGGCGACCATGCCGTGGGATATCTGCTTTCTGGTTGGTGGAGGCTTTGCTCTGGCAGAAGGCTGTGAGGTGAGGCAGCTTGTCCAAAGGCGTTTCCATTCCAGTATGCGTGGAGCCACCGGGCATCTTTAAATCCATTTCCAAACAGGTCTCAGCCTGGCTAAAACTCTTATACTCTCACCTCCGAGTCAGTAGGTTGTGGGTTCAAGCCACACATTGGGGAATTTGAACTCACAATCCAGGCTGATGCTCCAGTGAAGTCGTGGAGGAGCGCTGTACAATCGGAGGTGCTGTCCTTTGGATGAGATGCTAAACTGAAGTCCTGAGTGTATCTGTTCAGGTGGATGTTAACGATTCTATGGCATTGTTGGAAAACGGAAAGAAATTTCTCTCTCCCAGTTTCCTGACCAACAATCCCCTGGATAAAATTGGTTATTCACTTCTGTGCACAAATTGGCTGCTGGGTTTGCCCTCAAAACACACAATAACTAGACTAGACTAAATCCCGTGAAGCACTTTGAGATGTCTGGATGAGTTCCAGCTCTGTGAGTCTCTGGAATCCCGTAGTGTAGTGAGAGAACCCGGGTTCAATTCCCAGGCGGGGCAAACCTTAAGCAAGTTTCCTTACTCCACTATTTACCCAGCAGTAATTAGGAATCCGGTTGTTACTCGATTGGCGGAAATGCTTTCCAGGGGTAATAATCTCTCAAAAAAAAACTCAATCACGACTGTTTGTGGGATACTGCTGTGAGCAATTGGCTGCTGTGCTTCGCCCACAAAACACTGTCAAATCCTCTTTGCAATATATTCTGTGAGCGCTTTGAGACATCTCAACAACCTGATATCAAATGCAAGGATTATTATTATTATGGCCCGGAAGGATTGTTGAGCCCTGTAACCAGGAGGTACTCTTTGGCTGTTACAGATCTCGGGCCTCTCTCTCTGGGTGGGCAGTAAACTGGAGCCACTCGGATCACTGCCAGTGTTGGTCATCATCCTGATCTCTAGTCTGATCGTCACCACGGTGACCGAGGTTGCCAGCAACCCAGCGACCATCACCATCTTCCTCCCCATTCTTGCTCCCTTGGTGAGTATGTGCCCGTATGTCTATCCACTGCTCTCCTCCCCTGTAAATTCTGAGTTCCGTAGTATAGTGGTTAACATGTTTGCCTCATAAGCGAGAGGACCCAGGTTTGATTCCTGAATGGGATGAAACCTTAATCAAGTTTCCTTACTCTACACACACCTGTTTACCTAGCAGTAAGAACCCGGTTGTTAGTCAGTTAGGCGTATTGCTTTCCAGAGGTAATAATCAGCTTTAAAAAAATGTGGTCACTCAATCAACAACTATTTGTTGGACACTGGCTGCCGCGGTTTGCCCACAAAATATACAGTCAATCCACTTTACAATATACACTGTGAAGTGCTTTCAAATATCTCAATGATATGACAAGGTGCTGTACCAAATGCAAGGATTAATATTATTGCCAATTTCTGAAGAGATCTCAGACCTTAATGGAACTGTGGTTAGAAACCCACTGTGATCTTTACAACAGCCACAATTTACTTTACACAGCGCCCTTCACGCAGTATAGAGTCTTGGAGTGCTCTACAGTAGCAGGTAACTGAGCCAGGGAGAAGAGTGCGGGGGTAGGGGGAAACCATAGGCATGGTCAAAGAGGTAGGTCTTCAGATGGGATTTAAAGATAAATAAAGAGGGGGTAAGGCAGAGGAATAGAGGCAGGTCGTTCCAGTGGTTAGGAACTTTAGTATTCAGCATAGGAATATGGGAACAAAAGTATTTGAATTCGAAGGTTGTGGGTTCAAGCCCCACATCGGATTTTGGTGAGAAAAACAGAACACAGTCCAGCAGATGGGGTCTGACCACAACACCACACAATACAGCAGTGTTTGGGCAGTATAAACTGGTTACTGTGTGTGTGAGACCAGCTAGCCTGTTCAGAACCATGTCCTGTGATGGGCAAGTTCATATGTTTCAAATCAGTTCAGTCTCTCGCTGTCGATGAGTATACAGTGGCCTTCACATGTCGGAGCATGTCACGGTAGTGGAGACAATCATTGAGCATGGTGGAGGATAGAGGTGACTGTAGATGTGGTCAGAGAGATATGACTTTCAGATCAATGATAGGGTGGTAGGGAGAGATGGAGAGGTCGCGTGAGGGACTTCCAGAGATCAAGGGTATAGAACTGGAAAAGTTATTGCCGATGATGGGGTGGAGAAGGGGGTGGGGACGAGCAGCAGCAACAACAACTTGCATTTATATAGCGCCCATCACTCGGGATAGCGTCTCAGAGAAATTCTAGCACAATGAGAGTTAACTTTATTTTTGTGTTTGTCTCAGGCTGAGGCCATTCACGTCAATCCTCTCTACCTGCTGATACCTACTACCCTGTGCACCTCCTTTGCCTTCCTCTTGCCTGTCTCCAATCCCCCGAACGCAATTGTATTTGGATATGGCCACGTGACAATGATGGACATGGTGAGTCTCAATTGTCCCAATGACGACCTAACCTAACAACAGTCAATAACAACAACAACTTGCATTTATATAGCGGGGCAGTGTCTTGGAGCGCTTAACAGTGGTGGAGTGAGCCGGAGTTATGGAAGAAGTGATCGTGAGCATGCTCGAAGAGGAAGCTCTTCAGTTTTGATCATCTAAAAGAGTGGGGGGTGGTGGGCAAGATGGAGGGATTGAGGGAGAGAGTTCAGGGCATAGTGTCTGAACGCAAGACTGCTAATGTGGAGCGGAAATGATGAGGAACGAGGAGGAGGCCACAGTCAGCCGAGCGGAGGCTGCAGGTTGTGAAGTAGGAAGATGCCGGGGCACAAAGGGATTTGTAGATAAGTGAGCGGATCTTGAACTCAGCCAGGAAAGGCAATGCTAAAGGGTGTGTGTTTCTGTTCTGTAACTCACCTGTTTCAATTATGTGCTGTTATCTGCCTTAGTCACTGTATCTGAGACCAGAGAACCATAGAAATTTATGGTGCTGAAGGTTGAAAAGAAAGATCTTAAGATTGCCTTGAAAATGGGGAGGGAAGGGATGAGGTAGAGGGATTCTTGGCTGGAATTCTGAAGAGAAGGGGCAGAGTGGCTCCTGAGTGATGGTGGGCAGGTTAGGGCACGGCGGTGGGGAAGGGGGGGCATGAAGCAGGCTGAGCGAAGGGAGCGGCAAGGGTTGTAGGATTGCAAGAAATCACAGAGCTCACTCTCTCCAGGATTAGGTAAGCAGAATACATCCCTCCAGGGAGAGAGTGTACATTCCATTCTAGACACAGGGACACTTCCACATGTGGCTGGTTTCCATGTGACAGACACCGGCTGTGGATGTAAGTACCTGATGACATTCTTTGACTGACCAAAGATGCAACTTGCATACTTGCCTGTGAGGCACAAAGCCCAGGTCGGGACTTTGAGCTCGTAGACTAGGCTGACCCTCCAGTGCAGTGCTGGAGGTGTGTTACATTGTCAGAATTGCCATCCTTCAGATGAGACGTTAAACCGAGGTCTTGTCTGCCTGTTCAGGTCTACATTAAAGATCCCACTATTGAAAAAGAGAAGGAAGTTTTTTTTCTCCTGGCCAACAATCCCCCAGATAAAATTGGTCACTCACTTCAGTGACTGTTTGTGGGATGTTGAAATGAGCAATTAAGCTGCCACGTTCGCCAATAAAAAACACAGTCACAGTTCACAGTATCCTGGTAAAGTACTTTGGGATGTCCTCCCGATTTGGAGGCCCTATATCAAATGTAAGGCTTATTTGGATGATAAATTGTTGAATGCGGTTCTGGTTTCAGGACACGCAGTACTGCCTCTACGCCACAGGGCGGCAGCACATTATAAAATCAATCGTCTCCACCGCTGATGCAAAGTTTTCAGACTGCACTGAAAATGCAGCCCCAAGGTTTCGGCTGGTAACAATAATAAATATAAGTACTAATTAGAGATAACATTATAGCAAATTGGCTGCCGGGTTTGCCTACAAAATACACTGTCACTAGATTGCGAAGCACTTTGTGACGTCCTTCTGACATGAAAGGGGTCAAATGTAAAGATTATGATTATTCTTATTGTTATATGTGTTGGTCCATCATGGATGTGCTGTTCCCCTTCAGGTGAAAGCGGGGCTAGGTGTGAACATCATTGGAGTTGTAGTTGTGATGATTGGCATCGCCACGTGGGCAGTACCTTTGTTCAGCTTGGATGTCTATCCCTCATGGGCTCCCGACCTCAGGAACATAACTACCCCCTAAACTGGGGAACCGAGCACACAGACGATGAGGCCTGTTATGGATTGCGTGTGCCGTGAACTGGCTCGATTTTACCCACCTTAGTTCGGACAGCATTCACCTCGCTGGCTCACGGAGAGTAACCGCTGGTAATCCGGGACGTGCCAAGCCTCGCTAAGCTGGTGAGATAGGTGACCCTGGCTCACCCAGTGCAAATACCAGATGAATTTGAAAATGAAGGACTTTGTTTGGACTTGCCAGGATTTATACCATGGAAGTCTCCTCGCCACAGAACCTTATACTGTATTGTGCCATCAAACCTTTCATTACACAGAGTTACGCAGACTGTACAGCTCACAAACAGGCCATTGGTGGTTATAGTCCACACAATCCATCCCCTCTACCCCTCTATCCCCTCTTTTCCCCTCCCATATAGCCCTCAATTTCCCCCCCTGCACCCCTTTATCTCTCCTCTATCTCTAAACACCCTCTCCTCTACCCCTCTATTCTCCTCTCCTATACCCCTGTATTCCCCTCTTCTTCATGTCTGCATCAAGTTTGCTCTTAAATACTTTGATGCTTTTTGCTTCAACCACAGCTTCTGGCAGTGAGTGCCACACTCTCACACTGTCGTTGTGAAGAAGTTCCTCCTAAACTTCTTATTAGATCTGTGACTGTGTCACTTATATTTATACCCTTTAGTTATGGACTCAGCAACAAATGAAAACAGCCTATGAACCTATTATCCACCTTATCAAATCTTTGATAATCATATACCCCTCGACCAGGTCCCCTCTCAATCATCTCAGCATGATATTAAATGGAATTGAAAAAGTAAACCTAGATCAATATTTTAGATTACACCAAGACAGTAGAACAAGAGGATACAGGTTTAGAGTTGAAAAGGGCAATTTCAGGACAGAAACTAGGAAGATTTTCTTTACCCAGAAGGTAATTAATAACTGGAATAGGAAGGGTGGTTGAGGCCAGGACACTGGAACTCATTTAAAACGCAGCTTGATGGGGGGACAGGGAGGGATGAGATCAGATGGGCTAAAGTGACCGCAGAGATAAACTGAGTTTATAATTTGAATAGCATTGCTTTTTATTCTTTTTAAATGAGCCCACAAATTTTTATATCAAAATATTTCTTGCAAGTTTCTGAACCAGTTTCTAAACCTGTCTTATTGCTGCACAGAGGAGAACTTTTTGCAAACAAGTGAAATAAAAATTCCAACCACCCTCCCCCATATGTACATCTCGGGTTTCAAATGTTGTAAAAACTGCTTTTAGTTTGAAATAAATATTTTGCACTTTTGTTTGTCTTTAAAAGACACTCGTCTCCAAATAACAGCCAATCCTCAGGGAAGACTGGTGTCAACCTGGCTCAGTCGATAACACTCTCGCCTCTGAGTCAGGTTCAAATTCTTCATTGGGGAGTTTGAGCTCACAGTCTAGGCTTACGCTCCAGTGCAGTGCTGGGGGAGCGCTGTGTTGTCAGAGGTGCTGTCCTTCAGATGAGACGTTAACCCAATGTCCCGTGTGCCTGTTCAGGTGGACCTTAAAGATACTGTGGCACCACTTGAAAGGAGAAGGGAATTATTCCTGATGTACTGGCTGAAATCCCCCAGATAAAATCAATCATCATTTAATGGCTGTTTGTGGTACATTGTTGTGTGCAAATAGTCTGCTGTGTTCATCTACAAATATACAGTCACTATATAGTAAATCCTGTGAAGCTGTTTGGGATCTCCTCTCAATGTGAAAGGCGCTTTACCAAATGTGATTAAGATTGAAACAATTTGGCGTCTAACCTGTGCAAACCATCATTTCCTGCATCTTTTCTGTTCTCCTGGTACATGAGGAAGGTCAGGTTTGGACTCTATTGCATGGTGCCCAATTTCCACATATCATAGTGATGGGTTTCTGCGTGCATTGGACACCCGGATGATCATTCTGATGAGTTTTTGCATGTTTCAGTGTGCTGCATTCTATGGAATTGAATCAGGGAAGTTCACAGCATGGCCGGAGACCTTCAGTCTCCATCAGCTGGTTCGGTGTCTGCCAGGGCTGGTTCAGTGTCTGCCAGGGCTCCGTGCAGCTGCTAAGAAAAGAGTAGCAGCTCAGGACAAAAACAGAGTAAAGCTCCCTGTGTCTCGCCCGTCACCCCCAGGTCAGTGGCAACACAGGACACGGACAGAATAAAACTGTAGCTCTCTCGTGGACTATTGATGTAACAGTCCTGTATTGATGTAATCAGAATCAGCTCATGAGTACCTTAGCCAAGGATGGACCCAACCTCTAAACACCATCAGGTGGGTGAGTACGTGCAGATTCACACGCATACGATCTTGGTGTTAAAAAAAAGCCAATGATGAAAGAGGTGTAGCTAAAGTATAATGAAAACAGAAGTCGCTGGGAGCAGCAGATCAGGCAGAATCTGTGGAGAGAGGAAAGTGAGTTAACTGTTCAAGTCAATGACCATTCAGCAGAACTCGGTGAACGAGGTAAAAGGGAAAAATGAAAGTCACTTTGAAGAGAAGAGCAGAACTTCTTCAAGGTAGGCATTCCTAGAAGAGAAGTGGTGGTGAATTAAACAACAAACAAAAGGCAAAATACTGCAGATCCTGGAAATCTGAAATAAAAACAGAAGTCACTGGGAACATGCAGCAGGTCAGGCAGCATCTAGGGGGGGAGGAAAAAAGGTTAATAAACCTTTATTTTAGGTTGATAATCTTTTATCAGGCCTTTGTAGCTAAGCTACACTTTGTTCAGTCGGTCATCCCTGAGTTGGTCATCCCTGATGTTTTGTCCAAGCTGATGAGAACCGATGCATCTTTCACTTACCTCCCTCTGCGATTCAAGCCACTCAACCTTGGCTGTTCAAGATTCCAGTGATTCTGGTAGACTAGTGGTTAGAGCTCTTGCCTCACAAGTGAGAGCTCTAACCACTAATTCCGGGGCAGGGTGAAACATTGGGTACATTTCCTTATGCCACATGCTCCTGTTTACCAAACAGTAAATAGGAACCTGGTTGTTAGTCGATTGGCGGATCATATTGGATTATATTCCAACAGCATCAGAAAAAAAGCAAAAGATAAGAACAGACTGCACCGCTATTAGAAGACAGCTGCTAGAGATTTACTAGAGATCCAACCCTATTTTTGTTTTATTCATCAGCCTTCCAATTTCAGAGACAAGATCTTAGAATCATAGAGTATTACAGCACAGAAGGAGGTCATTCAGGCCATTGTGCCTGTGCCGGCACTAACTCTCTCTGTTCCTGTACCCTCTTTAAAACTGTACCATTTATTGTTTATTTCCTCTCCTCATTCTTCCTCCCAAAATGCATCACCTCACACTTCTCTGCATTAAACTTCATCTGCCATGTGTCTGCCCATTTTACCAGTCTTTCCATGTCATCTTCGGTTCTTTAATTCAAAGCTCGATATGATCAACATTTCAATGACAAGAGAAATGAAAGGAAAAACAAGATATGTTCGCCGACTGCTTATGAAATTGTGAACTTTGATAATGTCATCACAGTGACAATTGTAGCAACATATCTTTACTTGAAAATAATAGTTAATATTGTCTATTATAAACCTGCCTACTGTAACTGTGTTTATTGAACTTATTCTAATGCAAATAAAGTGAACAAGCTTTAAAATGTAAAATACTCCCCTGATCACAGGTTCCTAATTTTAATTTTAAATTCAGCTAATAAGAATAAGATGGTTTTAAGATAAAATGATAAGGCGCTATAACAAATGCAAGCATTATTATTATTATTAAAGTGTAGTGTCAGCTTGTCGCGCTCTCGCCTCTGAGGCAGAAGGTTGGGGTTCATGTCGGGATTTGGAATCACGTAGTCCAAGCTGACATTGAAATGCAGTGTTGAGGGTGTGCTGCAGTGTCGGAGGTGCTGTCCTTCGAATGAGATGTTAAACCAAGATCCCATCTGCCTGTTCAGGTGGACGTTAAAGATCCCATAGCGCTATTCAAAAAGAGAAGGGAGTTTCTCTCTCCTGGTGTCCTAGCAACAAATTCCCCAAGCAAAATTGATCACTCACTCCATCGTTGTTTGTGGGACACTATTGTGCTAATTTCAAAGAATTATAGAATTATACAGAACAGGAGGCCATTCGACCCATCGTGTCTGTGCCAGTTCTTTGAAAAGAGCTGTCCAAATCAATCCCACTCCCACTCTCTCTCCCCATAACCCTGCAAACCTTCTCCCCAAATAATTATCTACTTCTCTCTTAAAAATTTTTATCGAATTGGCTTCCACCATCCTTTCATTCCATGCATTCCAGATCCGAACAACTCGCTATGTGAAAACATTTCTCCTTAACCCCCCTATCCCTGTTTCATTTAACAACTATTTTCAGGTGACCGACCCACCCACCAGTGGAAATAATTTCTCCTTGTTCACCCTATCGAATCCCCTTATAATTTTGAAAACTTCTATTAAGTCTCCTCTTAACTTTCTCTGCTCCAAGGAGAATAATCCTAACTTCTCTAGCCTCTCCTCATAACTGAAGTTCTTCATTCCTGGTACCATTCTGGTAAATCTCTTTGCACCCTCTCCAATGCCTTGACATCCTTCCTGAAGTGTGGTGCCCAGAACTGAACATAACAACAACAAAAAGATTACATTTGTATAGCGCCTTTCATGTTGGGAGGACATCCCAAGGTGCTGGACAGTGTACAGCATTTCAGACTCGAGCTGGGGTCAGGAGGGTGGCCGATGGCATGGTTGAAGAGGAGGATTTTGAGGCGGAACATGAAGGAGGCTAAGGAGGGGATGAGGCAGAGCGATTGGGGGATGGAGTTCCAGAGGTTGGGGGCAGAGTGGCTGAAGGCTCTCCCGCCAATGGTGGGGCGGGTGGGTCGGAGGACATGGAGCAGGCCAGAGCCGGCTGAGTGGAGGGAGCGGGCGGGTTGATAGGGGGTTAGGAGATCACAGAGATGGGGTGGGGAGGCCATGGAGGGCTTTGTAGGTGAGGACCAGGATCTTGAACTGGATCCTCTGAAGGATAGGGAGCCAATGGGGTCGGGCGAGAGTGGGGGAGATGGGATCTCGGAGTTTGGTGAGAGAACACGGGCTGCAGAGTTCTGGATTATCTGCAGCCTGTGGAGGGAGGAGTTGGGAAGGCCGACAAGCAGTGCGTTTGCGTAGTCGAGTCTGGAGGTGATGAAGGCACGAACAAGAGTTTCAGCGGCCTGAGGGGTGAGGTAGTGGCGGAGTCGGGCGATGTTACGGAGGTGAGGGAAGGCAGAGCGGGTCATGGCTTGGATGTGGGGAAGAAAAGACAGTTGAGGGTCGAACAAGACACCGGGGTCCCTGACTGGCGGTGAGTTGTAGTGTGGAACCATGGGGGTTGATGCTGCCAGAGCCTGAGGTGCTGAGGCCGAGCCAGTGTTTTATAAAGCTTCATCATAAGAATAATTTTTATAAAGGGTTTCGCCCACAAAATACGCAGTCAATCCACTTTACAGTATACCCTATGAAGCGTGTGATGACATCAAATGCAAGGATTATTAATGAACATAATGAAAATACAGAGCTAATTGTACTTATGTACGAGGGACAACAGGGGGCGCTGTGTGTGGAGGGCAGAGCCTGTACTGCGGTTGCTGTCCAGAGGGCGGCGCTGTGTGCGGAGGGCAGAGCCTGTACTGCAGCCGCTGGGCTCATGTTATCTTCCGCTCTGATTGGCTGGTTGGCTGGTGAGACACGTGACACTAACCATGTGCCACTCAGAGTGAGAAGGCACTGAGAGTTTCATGAAATTATTTCTTGTTTTCACTCCATAATGTTCAGCAAATAGAG